CATTCTAGCTCTTGATCCTTGCAGTCTCAACTTTAGAATCTGGTTTCTTCAGTTTGGTCATATCGGGGTGGCCCAAAGAAACGCACCCTGTTCGGAGTCCATTGTATCCATGCTAACTTCGAGATGGATGATAGATTTTTAATGCCAAAGTTTATTAATAATGTTGGAGTAACTTTTATTTAGTTTGAAGAGGCGAGTGTGATGCAGAAAAACTGGGTTTTCGAGAATCCCTTAATAGATTGATGTTGGAGTGCCTTTTATTTAATTTAATTTATGATATATTACAAAGAAATCAGAGGTGCTCGCTTATCAATCTAACTCCTCTTCTTAGACAGCATTTGCCGAAATTATTACACATATTTAATGGAAATCTCACCATTCTAGCTCTTGATCCTTGCAGTCTCAACTTTAGAATCTGGTTTCTTCAGTTTGGTCATATCGGGGTGACCCGAAGGAACGCACCCTGTACGGATTCCATTGTATCCATGCTAACTTCGAGATTCGGAGCGTGGTCTTGGGACATTCCCGGTTTTTTCGCCAGCATCATCAGTGAGCCTTGCCATTCCTAGTACCAAATCACAGCTGGTCAAATGAAAAAAGTTAGTCGATTCTTCGGCCAATTTTCTGCGGAACTGTTACGGTATCTTTCGTTCTGTTTGACTCTGCAAATTCTCATGGATACAATGGATCACGAGCAAGATGCGTTTCTCTAGGTCTGGACATAGTAAATTGGATAGACTACCAACAGATGATCTTTGTATTATATATTTTTTAATCTCTTATTTGGGATAAATGATACAATATTTCAACTTTGTTCTTCACTTAAAATTAGATGACCTTCGAGGGCATCTCTACTCTTCTTAGTAATGAGCCTCTCTCTGCTCATCTTCAAGGGGACTTTTTATCACATTAAATATCGAGTTTTTTTAATAGTAATACTTTATTTTCTCGTGCTTTGCCTCCTCTGACTTGTCAAAGGTTTTTCTCACAATCGATGGGCACTCCAACCACACAGCTTCTCTCATTATTGTGCGAAAAGAAGGCTCATTTTCACACCTCATGTCTTCGCATTGGCTGCATGACGAGGGTCTATCTGGCCTGTCCCAAAGATTTGGCTCCACCAACTGGTCCTCTTCTCTTGATTTGTCATTGGGGCATCGGTTAGACTACGTCTTTTCAGACGGTGATGATGATGCTTCTTCATCATTATCTAAGCCGTCCAACCCTTGTCCTTCTACCGTGGCTCATTCAGCCATCTACTTCTTTACAGGTAGAATTTTTTAATTTTAAAATCTTATAAGCGTAGACTCCTAATCATTATTTATGTAATTGGATCCCTCCTTTATATTGATAAACCCAGTCGCAGAAGCTAACATCTCTCCTTCAGTCTAGTCATACCGTCTAATTGCATCCTATCACTTGAAAGCTTCTATTCTAATTGTTTGCCTCTAGCTCTTTGTCTAGAAGCATTTTAACGATAAGATGAATCACTTTATATGCTCACACTTCTCTAGAATACTATCTTGCTCTTGAGTAGCCTTAGTAGAGTCATGTTTCCATGGCAACATTAGGATTAACCTGAGATATATTATATAAGGAAATTCAAATGAATACCGAGGTCTGCTTGCTTATAGACCAATCTAACCTGATCCAGATTCACCATCAGAAAATTAATGCAATTATCGCCAACTAGAAGTTTAGTGCCACTTCGAAACCACTTTATCTATAATCATAGCAAGCATCGCAATTTTCGCTCATAATTTTATGCCGGCCTGCGATTTCCTTCTCCTTTTAAGCATATATAATTAAAATAAACTCAAAATGGGCGAATATATGAAGACTAGGATGGTGTGGCCTTTTGTATGGTCGCGGTCTCAAAATAGTTGTGAAATGTCCAATTCAGAGATTACTGGCTTCGATTAATGAGATGAACTTATTTTTATTATAATTCAATGAAAAACTCATATTTCCTACAACAAAAGTAATAGGTATAAACAATTTTTACTTTTACTATTTACCGATTGAAATTATTTTATCTCATATTTTTATAAATTTTGATCAGTTACCCAAAAGAGTTCTGAATGGCATGTTTAAAGCTTGATATTTTTTCCAAAGTTAGTCTTGCATTAATAAGTTCTAATTGTATCCAAAGGAACCTAAATCGGGATAAAGCAATTAAGGAATAAACTATAAGCTGGCCTGCACTCTTTCTTTTTGGATTACGCTCAGAATGTACGTAGATTACAATATTTGAGAGCAAGATTTTTATTTGGGTTAAATTTTACTTAGATGAATGGGGACTAGATGGTGTGGCCGTCAGTATGGTCGCAGTCTCCTTTCGATTTATTGTAGTGGGTTGACCTCGTTTTCGCAACTTGGCTTTGTTTTCAGGGAGACTTAGTTGAACGCACCTTGTCAGAAGTCTTCTGCCATACTAGTTAACATAATTCCCAGCATGAGAATGTACCAAATCAGTGGTCTGATGCTGAGAATTGTGATAACTACTATGGCAGAAGACTTCGAACAAGGTGCCTGAACTACATCACCAAATTGCGAAAGCGAAGTCAACTCACTTCTAACCTTTATTTCACATTGATGTGTGTAATAAATAAGTATATGGGTCGATCTCACCAAAAGACTACAGCAGGTTACAATTAGTTTGCTGTTTGATCTTACTGGGAAATTCACATCATAAGATTTCTCGAGCCATTCTCCCATCTGTTTTTGAATGAAACGGGATGATCTTCAATCTGTCATATGAAAACCATCTTTAGAACTGGAAGTTATTCTTGCAATAATTCTCTACCTGGCATGTGTTTTCGCATAGAAATTATTTTTGGGATTATAAGAAGACTTGTTTAATTCGCTATAAATTTATCGGCATGCAAGCGTTAGACCTCAAAATTACTTTCGAGTAGCTCCAACTGAGAGTGAAATCTCGTCTATCTGATGGAGAATCAATGATCTTTTTGACCTGACAAATGTCGGAATGAGTGGATGATCTATCTTCTTGAAAGCCTATGACAAGAATGCTTGACATAAAGAAACTAGGTTACTCTCTTTTTGATATATCGCGAATTTATTTCTGGTTGCTTCTGTTCCAAAAAATTTGATTTTGTTTGATTAAATTTTTAAAATAATATTGTAAATCCGTTCCAGTGATTTTGGAATAACTTCTTATCTACGCCCTTAGGAGAGTAGTGTTCTCTGAGCTTAAAGCTTTAACGTCATACAAATTTATTTTTAAAAGCTGCTTTTCTCTGTCTCCTCATGCCTCATAATGATTACAAACCCCTGGAGAAACTGTTTTTTTCTTGCCACTTTGGAAATAATTTCATATCTAAATGCCATTTTGAACAAATTGTACGTTATACAATTGAACTGTGTGCCATCCATTACAAATTGTGTTGTTTCATTAGTATTTTTTTCGACGTGATTTTC